CTTGTAAGAACGAGCTGCCATTGCCCGACAAAACCAACTGACACGGACTACAACTTCTAAGTCAGGAAGAGCTGATACATATCACCCTTTTAGTAAAGACCTTCACCGTTGAATGAACAGCGAAACCGGTAAGTCGACTGCCTTTCTGAGTCAAATCTGAAGAAGCTGTTCATCATGTTCAACACTGATTTGCGTGATTGATCATTTGATTTATCAGAAGCAAGAAGCAACTTTCTCGGTTGTGTTTCCCGCTGGGATCGGAAGTACGCGTGTACGATAAGAGAAAAGGTCGTTCGCGGGCTTTTAGTCAGAGCGATAAAGGAACCGCGATAGTCAACGTGCTACGTCGCCAATTCTGTCAGACGCACACTTTCGTTTTGGGTGTCTAGACATCTATATATCATGAATCGATTGCGTACAAATGAGCCTGAAAAATATCCGCACTTAACAAGGACACCGCTTACCTCACATCGACGACCCTTTCGTCCGATGCGATGAAGTCATACTTATCGCCGTTTCGAGTTCAGCGTGCCACATGGGAGTGCGAAAACCTTTTGTTTACTTAATTTGGACTAGTTGGTCCATGGTAGGTACAAGGTTTAAAAGCGCGAACAGACAGGAACGATAGAAAATAACACAAACGACAGCGCCTTATCCCTATCGTTTGTGTTGTACTCTATGGTCCGTCTGTTTATGCTTCTAAACCTTATACCTTTTGTTTACATTTGCAATACTGTTGGCACAGTTCACTGCGCAGCATGTCGGCATCGCCACGGCGCGGCACCGATGTCCAACTCAAAAACAGCGATGATATCACCTCCTCCGAACCCTTGACTGAATGGGAAACAAAACTTACCTCGCGCTTAATGATGGTGGCAGACGCCGGCCCCGTCCGACTAATTTCAGCACAAGGCCTGGCATGACGGGAATGAGTTTAGTTTCGTAGCACGCGCCGACCAACCGGGGAGCAAAGAGAAAACTATATATACGAGGGCTTGGCAAGGGGGAATCTCTCTCCCTTTATTCGGGCCATCCCCTTTAATGTACTCTGCTATGTGTTTTGCTTGAGGCCTACTTACTCGCCGTATACACCATTCCAATGTCTACAAGCCATCAGCCCAGCATGCGCATGTTCGTCGCTTCGAAACGAGAGCAAATCACGCACCACGCACGAACACTGAAAATGGAACCTGAGGAGCCCCCTTTTTTTAATGCGAAAGCATTAACTATCCCATGGAGCGAGCTGACGTCATCAGTTTGAAGGGCGAAAACGGCCCCCAGTTTCCCCGATCTCAAAGGAGCGAAGTAAAGCTGATGGATTTCGCCTTCGGTTCCATTGGCTGGCGCGCGTCGACGGGGCCCCCACTGGCCACTGCGCTCGTCTGTTTCCACGACCGCTCACCCCATGGCGCTGCGTGTCCATCAGCGTGCCGTTAACACCAAGGTCCAAGGTCACCAAGGGAGCACGTGCGCTGACCGGCGACGAAAAGTACGCAGCACACGACAAAGGCAGCAGACGAGCGGCTTGCATGCTTCCGCATTCACAACTGATAAGAAGTTCTTAGGTGAACCTCGAGCCTTATTTTTTTTGGAAAGATCTATATTCCTTTCCAGCGCTTATCGCCAAGGCGAAAAACACTGAGTCACTGGGGGTTGTGAACACATGCGCGTTACCTCATATTTCGTGGAAGAGAGCTACTGCGCACGCTTAGAACGAGAACGGGTACCTCAGCCCAGTAGACAAAGATGGCAGCACACAGAAGGCGATTACTGAAAAAATCTATAAACTAAAAAAAAAAGATTGAGCCATTTTATTCTTAGAAAGTGGATGATCAGTGAAGCCGTTTAGCACACAACAGAGACGTGACACAGAATTTCGAAGAAAGGTACAAACACGTTTATTGTCTTGATCAGTGGTCATCGTAACGAAAAGTACGCACACGCATGTCGAGGATTATCGCCGCCCCGAGGAGCCGGAGAAAACTAGACACGCGCGACGGGACTGCCACCCCGCGGAACGGTTTGCTAAAAGTCCCTAATGCCCGAGTCCCGCCAGAGCGACTCAAACAGAAACAACCGACAGTCTCAAACACGTGCATCATGCACGCGACGGTATACCTTTCGCAGGCTTGCAATCTCTCGGTGCTCGTGAAGTATATATATATATATATATATATATATATATATATATATATATATATATATATATATATATATATATATATATATAAGCTCGAGTGATCGCAGACGATGTAGCTTCGCGTGCATGCTGCACGTGTTTGGAGACTCGTCGCTGTCGGTTGTTTCTGTTTGTCGCTCTAGTGGGACTTGGCGGCATAAACGTCCCTATGTCCGACCGATGCATGAAGGAAATCGAGCAGCACCAAAAGCGTATGGTCCTGGTCCTCGTCGTCTTTGCGCGTTCATCGGCTAGACCAATCAGGAACAGTGAATGCATCATGTGGGCTATTTTCCCTAAGTGATTGGTTTCAAAAACGCACAATAGCTCCGTGACGATGCGTTTTGCCGCTGCTTTATCGGCTGAATTGTGTCGTCGTTGGCGGCGGTTAACGTGAAACGGAGTACAGAATACACAAAAAGATTTGACACTGTCGCTTAAAAACAGCAAAGGCCAACGCGGATGACGCAGAGCATTTCACAAGACGAACACGGCGTCTTCCAGCTCATTCTGCTGCTGAATAAGCCGCCATTTTCTCGCTAAAACTCGCACCGTCACGCCGAGTAGAGAATGTGGCAACTAGTAACAGGCATGGAGTGAATCTTTTATCTGGGCACTTTTCGTATAAGGTGCGAGGGTTGACGCGATAAAATGGTCAACAGGGAGGGAAGAGGAGGTGCTTTGCCACTGGGGCTAAAAAACCAACGCACAATCCTGGGAAAAAAACAAAAACAAGCAGCAACAAGCAAGCGCGGAAAGAGCGGGCGTCACCTTAGGGATTCGCCTCGTAAGCACACTTCATGCATGTACGGCAAAGGTTGGCCTTACGATCAGTCTCCAGCCGAAGATACCCTAAGAAATAGCAGACCAGCCTTGCCTTCGTTCGCGGAACAGGCTTAGGGGATCAACCCAGCCGGCCAATCTGCTTGTGTCACGAATACAGACGACCCCAATTAGTAGCTCGGAGGCCGAGGCGACAACGGGCTGCGGCGGCCATCTCAGCAACTAACGTATCTCCCGTTCTCGCGTTTGCTTTCTTCCAGTGGGCGGCATTAAAGCGGACGAGTCCCGAGAAAATTGAGGCCGCATACAGTGCCACAGGGCGTCCACAATGGCGGTCGTCGTCCTAAAGTCATGGGTGAGCCTATTTTTGACGTCATCGCTCATCTATTGACGTCATTTGTCGCGCAATTGCATGTTCCTGGTGTAGTCCATCGATGAGTTCCGTTTACGTATTATTAATGACTTGGAGTGCTTCGGTCAGTTAATTCGGACGCAAGCCAAGTGCGAGCTTACGTCACGTCCGCTCAGTTCGGCAATAAATTACGAACGATTAGACATGCCATTCGTCGTCTGTTTTCTTTTTTTTATTATTTAAGAGTGCTCGCAAGCGAGAAATCACGTAGCGCGTTTTTGGCGGCCCCACACAGAACGCGAAGGCATGACATTCGCTTGTGCTGCTGATGCGTGTAAACCGGTCAACAGTGTATTCCAACCTCAATCGTAAACAGGCTTACACTGGAGGCAGTTGCATACCGAAAGATCAGGTTCTTAACCCACCTGTTCGTGTGGGAGTGACTCTTATAAAGTGGCGACTGTGTGAAGTATCACGCCATAGCGCGAGTCGTTTTACACAGCGCAACGTTTATGCCTGTATAGTTCATTCCATTCTGCATGGCCCTGTTCGGGAAATTTCTAATATAAGCAATCGCCGGGAAAGGGACCCAAAACAAGCTTAAAATAACACGGAAAATGCATGCTTAATCCCACAGGCTATCGAAAGGGTATAACTGCTTGGAGAAACTATCTAACGGTCTCTCCTCAAAAATCGACTCTGCCACTAAATCTTCGATCATTCAAAAGTTAAATCGAGCTCTGATACACAAGTCAAGTTTTTATCAAAACCACGTAATTGTTACACAATTCCTTAATTAGCTGCGTATAATCCTTGCCATTTGTGCGCTGACTGTTGAATATCTCCATATTTCGTCTAGTTCCTATCAAAATTAATGTCTGTCATTTGGAGGATCGTCGTAGAACGGCTGAACGAGGTTCGACCTGTGACGCGTAATTGTAAGTTTGTGAACTCCGAGCGATATGAGAGCCTTACGTCATATTTCTGCGTCATGAATTTTGAGGCCGATCATCCAGGAGCTAAGAAGCGCGATTTCCACACCGCGGTTCCACCGTCACTGAAAATTGCGAATTATTTATAAATGCAGGTGGCAGTAGCCTAATGGAAAGAAAAAAAGAAATGAACTCTTCACGTCATCATCCGTTCTCTCCTTCTATCTCAAACTCTCTCTCTCTCGGAAAGAAACTTCTTGGGAAGTTAAGACCTTCTAGATGACAAGGCCTTATTGCTGACGTCACCTAAAGATGCAAACATGGCCGCTTGGATTGGACACGAGCCCCGGCCAAACGCCGAAACAGCAGTCATGTCTAATCCATGGTTCGCGTTGGCCTCCTTAGGTGACGTCAGCACTGCGGCCTTGTCATCTAACAGTGCGTTAGCATCCGGTGACTGCTAAAACCCGTCAACAGCTTAGACTAATGAAGAAAAGCCTCGTAGGAAAACGTCGGGCAACCAAGTTGAAGGTCGGTTCCCACATATATACAGCGCAGCGCCGAACCGGCGTCGGAAAACGGCGCTGATGCAGCTTTGCACGTGACTTATCTCTGATGTGGAAGATGAGTGCTCTATGTGTGAACAGGTCTTGAGGGTTTCCAAGAGTTTTCATTGCAAATAATTCTGGAGAGTCAACTGACCCTTGGTTGTCACAATGACAAATCCTTTTCGCTTTTGCGTTGCAGTGGCTGGACAACCGCATCGCACTACTGGTCGGACTGGTCCTTCTACATTGCGCCTGGGCTCAGGGCGAACAGCGTCGCGAAACGTCGGCCACAATGTTGGATTACTGCGTCATCGGTGCCGGACCATCTGGTCTACAAATGGCCTACTTTCTGCAGCAATCCAGGAGGAACTACCTGGTCTTCGAGAAGAGCAACATGACCGGTGAGCAGGGCTGCTCTTATACGTCTCGGATGCTGTTCTCACAAGGCGGACAAACTAATCAGCGTCGATAAAAAAACGACTGAAGCTTCTTGATGATCCGAATCATCTTTAGCAGTTCCGCTCTTTCGAAAACATGGGGTTTACTGTGGCCGGCTGGTGTTGGCCGAGAACTAAAACAGTTGCCCAAAAGGTGTGACTTGAAATGTCTGGCAGTATACGTTCGGGCGGCGGAATGTTGGTCTGGTGGGACTATGTACAATTAAATCTGTCTGAACTTGCTCAATGGCCTCGCATATTAGATAAACCACGAACAGATTTCTGGTTGACATAGACCTTTTTTGAAAAGTCTATACGAACCAGAGCTCTTGCGGAACCGAAAGGAAAGTTCCCAGCGCAAATGTTCACACAAGATTTTCGTGGCAAGGGACCGTGCGGAATAAGAAGCATTCGCAGACGACATTCTGAATGTCATGTTGTTGACCTGTATGCTGCGAAGTTTTCGCAAATACTGGCCTTTCACCCTCTTCGTTTTGACACCTTTCATCATTGCTATGAGGATCATTAAAGGAGCTGTGCAACGATTTTAACGTTGAAAGAATTGGCGTCTTCTACTTTTGACATTATCTTGTCACAAAGGACAGAAAACGCACCTCCTCTTCTTTGAAATGTTGCGATTCCGCCGCGTAATCGCGAGGCAAAAATTAGAATATTCCCCGACCTGCAGCCGCGAGCGGCGGCCATGAGAACCACGCGGCATGACGTCAATGGGGGTCTTGTAGAAAGATAGCAAGTTGTGCGAATACTTGCTGGATAAAAGGTAACTTTTCTATACGCCTCGCAAGTGGGCTCATTTTCGTCTTCTGCGCATGAGAAAGGAAGTAGCGGTGACGTCAGAACGCCGAGCCCTGATTGGCTGATCGCGACCCCCTATCGCAGCGTCGTCTGCTCCTTTGCAACGTCGTCTGCTCGCAACGTCGTCTGCGTCTGTCTTACCTTTCCTGCGACTTTCGGAAGTGCAGGTCTTTACGAGCGAGCTCGACTTGGCCTTTCAGAGAGGGCAGACGAAATAACTCGAGCGGTACGTTGTTTTTGGCTAACAACTAGCAGACGCGCATCAAGGAGGGAAGTCAAAGGACTCACTGGCGAGGTGTCCCGAGGCGCCGAGGTTTGTTTGCTAAGAACCGAGAGTGAGCGTGCTAGTACCCGCAGGTTCCCTCCCAAATACTTTTTACCTCCTTTCGTGTGCTGCAAGACCCATCATTCTTTAACGGCGTCGGCGGCTTGGCGCAGTTAACGTCGTCTGCTTTACGTCTGCTAGTCAAAGCGATGGCTGCTTTACCTTTCCTGCGTTTGTCGGAGATTCACCGCTTTTTCACCGGCGAGAGTTACCGTGGCCTCGGGAAACAAGGAGACAACAAGAGGAAGAAATTGACCTCGTAATCTAAACTTGAGGTCAGCGATCAAAGTATAATACGGGAAGGGTTCACAAGGGTCGCGCGGGCATATTCCATTCAGCACGCCAGCCGGTCGTGGGCAGACGGTTGCCGAGTCGCGGAGTGCCTGCTAGGCCTAACTGCGGAGCTCGCTTGGTCGCGTTCGGTGGAATCGTGGCCGTTGGAGCTTTTCCCGGGTGTTTGTGGATACAGCGTTCTTGTTCGTCGTGGTCTGTTTCAAGTTCTTTTTTCTTGGTGCTTGAAGTCGGGACGCGTGAGAAGCGCACGTAGAAAAATAAACGTCCGTGGGTCGTCGCGACCGCGACGCTGTCGGCCATGCTGATTTGGTCGTAAGAAGTGCGTAAGACAGCTTCGGAGCTGTCGTAGGATTTCGTCGTAACCTGCGCAAAACTTACGAAAATTTCCTTTCGTGAACACAAATTTGTTCTTAAGTTTTGTATTACGCACATTTTGGCGTTACATCGTTTCGTGAATCTGGCCTCTGCACTTCCGAAAGTCGCAGGAAAGGTAAGACAGACGCAGACGACGTTGCAAAGGGGCAGACGACGCTCAGATAGAAGGTCGCGATCAGCCAATCAGGGCTCGGCGTTCTGACGTCACCGCTACCCCCTGCGAAAGAAGCAGACGAACTTGCACTCCGCATAAATCTTGTCGTTCCAACATAAATATAAATGCGTCAAAAACCTGGTATCATTGACAAAACTTTCATTATACGGAGTTTCAGTGGCGCAATCTATCCGAGGTCAACAAAACCGTTCGCTCTATCTGCAACCGTGGACAGCCGCCAGACGCGGGAGGGAGACAGGGATAGGCGGACCTGGATGAGACTTTCCTCCTTTCACCATATTGTTCGCGCTGCGCCAGCAGGCGGTCGCGAGCAGATGAGTTCTCGCTGCTCACTGATGGCTCTAAAGAGGGAGCTTCACCGAAACCCCGCGCCACCCCCATTGACGTCACAGCGCACGTGACTCGGAAGATTGAGAAAGTTGAGAGGTGCCGAAAACCTCAATCTTTGTCCATTTTTAAAATAAAAAATAGGATGCATGCAGGCAAAAGCGGTTTTTTGTTCTTTACTTCAGAAAGGTCGAGACACCAACTCCCAAATTATATAAGCAAAGCACTGTAATTGTTGCACAGCTCCTTTAATCGCAAAACGGAAAAAGAAAAAAAAAAGTGCGATGAAAAGGCAGAATGATATGAATATTGCTGTAGGGGCAATCGCGCGGACGTTCCGTCACAATCAATACCCTGGTCCTCTTACGCTTGAAAATTTTCTGCATATAGTCACCGTGCACACGAAAAGATGACGACTGAAGCAACCTTCCTTTAAATGAGTTTTACGCCTCGTAAATTTCATCTTTTCAAAGCCCCTTTTGGCCGATCATAAAGCTGCGTATATTGGTGTGCGTTTTATTTTCTATTTTTTTTATTTTTATTTTCTACACAGGTGATTAAAAAGCGTTGTTTGCTTTACTGATTATGTACCCCTCCTATACTTAGTCCTCCCTAGGGTCTGCGGTATGCTAAATAAATAATAAACAGGGTATACACTTTTCTCGAAAAGCATGCGCGGCGTCTGATTTTACACAGAAGATGCTACTATAGACACATGCAAGCATGGCGCCTCACTGGTGCCCATCCGTACAAGCATATGCAACGTGCGCGTGAAGGTAGCATTGGCAAGCTTGCAAACACACGCATTTGCCAGCACGACCCGAAACATGGCGGCGGCCATATGCCCCGCCTGCAATCGTGAATATATGGCGGCTAGCCACCATAGTCAAAAGTGACTTTTAGCAAACCGTTAGCGTGTTCCGCGTACTGCGCTACCGAAGCCTTAGAAGCATGCTTTTCAGCTCGCGCGCGCCCCGACGGTATCACCCGGGCGCCTGCTTAATTAAAAGCATGCTTCAAAAGCTCCGGTAGTGCGGTACGCGGAACACGGTAACGGTTTGCTAAAAGTCACTATTGCTGAGAGAGCAGCCGAAGCTACAAGCGCGAGCTAGCCGGCTGCGCTCCTGGCTTTGAGACACACATACGCGAGGGCTCGTTCAGCGGGAGAAGGCTTCAAAGTGGCGACCTCCAGCTTTCGCTTGTGTGGTATATTGCCTGATTGGCTGCAGCTTCAGCTTTAAGGCCCGTTCACACACTTGCAACCGAGAACGACCGGGAGAGACAATACCAGTTGTTAAGCCTGTTGCAACGGCGTACGACCAGATGCGTTGCCGCGGAGCAGGTCTTACGCCGTTGTAAGAGGCTTACAAACCGGTCTTGTCTCTTTCGGTCGTACTCGATTGCACGTGTGTGAACGGGCCTTAAGGGTGAACGGAGTATAAGCGTGCTAAGAACGGGTTCTACACGGGTCGATCAAGAAAATAAAACCCACTTTTTTTGGCCCGCGAAAACGCATTACGCATCGCAGAAAGCTGTAACTCGGAGAGAACATGAAACGCTAGCGGTGGTCACAAAATGCGACAGTTTGACAACGTGACGTTACCTCGATCAAGGCGCACAAGGCGATCATTGGAATGGTCTCTGTATGAGTTAAACTTGCCGATCATGCCCAAGCAGAGACGCTGATCATTTCCAGGTCACTTCTTCAGCAAGTACCCGAAGCACCGGCAGCTCATCAGCATCAACAAGAGACACACGGGACAGCAGAACCCCGAGTTCAACCTGAGGCACGACTGGAACTCCCTGCTCAGCCATGAACCATCTTTGCTCTTCAAGCATTTCTCCCAAGATTACTACCCTCACGTAAGCAGACGGCGCGGTCTCCTCGAAGGGTCTGCCGGGTTCTCCAACCAATCGGCACGTGGTTGGAGTAGCCTAGTTTACCAAGATGACAATTCTCTCGTAACTGATATCGAGTGCCGTGAAAGCTACACTACTACGAGTGTCGTCTTGGGAGGAGATACATTTCATACATGATTTGTCCAATAAACGTATCAGAACCTCTAGGCTTTACAGATTAAAAAAAAAAGAGCCGTAAAAGGTCAACTAATGTGCGGCCTGTGCAGGCGAGTTTTACGGCCAGCAGGACCTAATATAGGGGGATAACCGTCACGATAAGCCAGGTAATTAAATACTATTTGTTCAGGAACTTTTTGATTATTGCACATAAAGATATGGGTTCAATTAAAAACTTGCTGGGCGTTATTCAGAACCACTAAATAAGTACATTTTTGAAAGATTCGGGGCGTGTGGGTAGCACGTAGTCCGCTAAAATTGCTACCCATGCAACAAGCGCAAGGCTTGTATTGCGAAAACGCGCGCCAGGGTAATTTTTCCGCTCCTTTTATCCGTTTCTTTTTTTTTTATTAGAATTGCGCCCATCGCACGAGGGTCTACTGCGATTCCCATGCGCCCCATATATCTTTCTAAAATTTAATTATTTAGGGGTTGTCGACGACGTTCAGCTGGTTTGTATTTGAAACCATGTTTGTTTTCATACACTAAAAAGTTTTTTTTTTATTTAATTACTTGACTTCTGAACCTTTAACCCTCTATTATTTTCCCCTGGCCTTATAACTTACCTGCACAAATCGGATTAGTGTAGCTTTCACGTTTTTTTTTGTTTTTTTTTTAATCCGTAAAGCCGAAAAAAACATTAAGACGCAAACCTCATAAAAAAAAAAAAAAAAAAAAAACCGGAGCGTTTAAGTGCACATTTTTTTTCAGTGCGCCTAGTTAATTAGTTAATAAGACTAATTAGATTTTTTTTTTAATTATTCGCTTAAAAGACGTTTTTATTTGAAATTCGTAGCATGAAAAACTGTGCTAAAACCACTTCGTACATGTATTTATGTGCACTGTCGGACACTGTCAGCGCGAACACGGCGTCGGCGCTTTCCAGCATGGGGAATATGCATTCCAAACGAACGGAGGACGTGTGGAAAACCAATACAGGCGGCAAGAACTACGCAGTAACACTGGTTAAGTAACTCCTTGTGCACGCAGACGATCAAAATAAATTGAAAGCCACGTAATATAGTCCGCTTTGCAATAAATAAGTACTGCTTTATTCGTCCCGCTCACGAATATGTGCGAAGATGCTTGTTCTGGGTTCAAATTTAATCACCCGCACGCTCCAGATCTCTGCAAATAGGGAGAAGCCAGAGAGCAGGTGCCCGATAAAAACTGCCCGACATAGGAAATAATAAAAAGACACACCTTTTGTAGCCCACGTACTTTATTTTTTACGTTCGAATGTCTTTTTAACCGATCGTAAAGATGCACGACGGAGTAATTTTCATTTAGTGACAGGACGGGCATATATTAGAAATTATAAGCGCCACCGGAATGCTTGCGAACCTCGAACACACACTGCATTCCTTTCGCTCGTTATTTTGCTTAGAATCGTTCCTCGTTTTTACATACCTGCCGTGGAACAGAGGTTTGGAAAGTTTGACATCGTTCAGTGGCAAAGAAAATGCTGTAACTAAAGCAGTTCACACCTTCACAATATTAATAAAGGTAGACACAATCCGGTACGACCAAAATAACAAAAGTTATTCATGTTATTTTCCGACGAAGAGGCAAAATGCATGCGCGTTTTCCCATAGGAATGCACAGGAGCACCGCAAAAGTAGACTGGTTGCTGTCTGCTTCAATTTGCATCCTGGAAGTCGCATAGACACTAGCGCCAGTTGAACCTCTAGCGTACACTATAATAACTGGCGTAGACCAACAATTTCGTACAGTCAATGCTGCATACGCCAGCGCCGCACGCGCGCGCCTTCCCCACGCGCGGCGTCCCTCTCCCCCCCTGACATTGCGCAATGCCGCGCGCACTTCGGCGGCCACCTGCCGAAGATCGTGCCACTGTCCTTATCAGTTGGACTTCAGACTTCACATGGGTCACACCCGTGTTGTACGTTCCGAAGAGGAGCAGCGAGAGTACAAGGAGCGTCGGCGCGCCCAGAAGCGAGATTGGACACGCCGCAAACGTGAAACCGCCGTTGCCCCACCAGAGCGCCAGCTTCGCTGGACTTCCTTCCCCACAGGGAGAAAAGGCTCTTAACATTTTTATTTCGCGGTTTTTATTATGCAAATAAAAAGCGTACAAAGTCTATCATGTAGGAAACACCTTAATTGGGCGTTTCTCAATGGGCTCTACAACTTCCCAATTCACACCTCGGCTCTTAAACGAATAAATAAAAACGCTAATTAGTCTTAACCAACTAATTAACTAGGTGCGCAGGAAAAAGGGCTGCACTTTCTCAAAACACGTCATAACAACTTAGTTGGTTTTACTCTCGCAGAGCATTCAGTTTATTTGTAAAGTTTGGTGCAAGTTATCTGGGACACCCTGTATGCATGACCATGTATGATTTCAATCTCTAGTATGTTTATTGGAGACGCTCATATAATTTGTTTTACTAGGGTTACAGCGTACGTATCATGCATCTCAGTACTTGCTTAATTTTATCTAGGTATAGACGCTTTGTAGCAGCTGTGCATGGGCGCCGCCATAACCGACCTTCAGTTTTCGTTTCCTCTTGTTCCATTTACTTCACATCATGATTACCATAGCAGGCGAGGTTATAGCCACCTTAGATTCTATTGTGTCCTTCCCCCCAGCATTGGCCTTTGTGGAAGCTCGTCAAATCAAATTTGGGGGTTTTACGTGCCAAACCAACGGCGGGCATCTGGCACGCCCCAGCGGAGGACTGAGGATTAATTTCGACTCCCTGGGGATCTTTTGACGTGCAACCGAAAGATCGGTTACACGGCGTCTTCTCCGCAATAAGCCTCCGTTAGATTGCGGGTACCTCGGCCGGGATTCGAACCCGCCACAGTGGAAGCTCGTCAACACCCATTTCAGTGGCTCGGTATTTTGGTAAGACAAGAGAAGATCAGCAATGGCGGCTGTAATTTGTCTCGTGTGTGAAGCGTCTATAGACTAGGTTCAAGTCGCATCCGATGCTACAAGCGCGAGCTCCGGGCTTTCAGTGTCCCTGCTAAGCACGCACGCTCGTGCAGTGCAAGCACTGCTCAGGGCCATGTGCTCACGTATGTACCATCGGCTGCTTCTAGACTTAAGCTGAAACCAAGTATAGGCCGCTGAGTTCTGCTAGAAATATCATGTCACCTTAGTGACCTTTTCCTAGGCCAATGAGCTATAGTCGGTGACAGGTAAAGAACGAAGTGGAAGCTCCTCCCACCTTTTTCCACTTTAGCAGAGCGATCGCCGAAGAGGACGCCACCTCCTCTCCACCGTCCGCTCGGCTAATGTGGAAAGAGGTGGGGGAATCTCCCTCTTCGTTCTTGACCTGTCACAATCGAGCTAGTATAAAAACGCGTCACCCCACTACTTTTATTCCCATTTAGGCAGACACCATGCCAACGTACCTAGAGGCGTACCGGACAAAGCTGGGCCTGAAAGTTCAGTTCGACACGGAAGTGACGAACGTTCAGAAGCTGACCGAAGAAACAGCTCAGGGACACCGATTTTCCTTTCGAGACCAGCGAGAACGGCTGTATCTCTGCAAGTACGCGCTTTTTTTGCAACACGTCTGATATTAGCGAGGCTCGATAGATATAGGGTTGCACTCCAGAGCCGTACATAGAGAGAGTTTGGTCAATGGGAGCAGCGGGCAGAGCCAGGGAGTGCACGAAACGCAGATAGAAGGCGCGACGTGCTCTTTTGGCCAACCAGAATCCGAAAAGAACCCCTAACGGTGGAAGCGAGAAACAATTTTAATATGTGCGTGAGAGTAAAATGGAGTAACCCTTCATGGTTGAAAATATAGTGTATGTGATATTTTGAACATGATCATGCAAAAAGATGTAAGAATCGAATGCGCCTCTCGAACTCTTATTTTGCTCGGTCAGTCTGACCGCCCGAACGGCATTTTCCCGGCCCTCGGCGCCTGGCGAACGGATCACGTCGATCGTTCTCCTAGAATTCGATTTTGAATGACCGTGATCAAAAAATCAGGTGCACTATATTTCCAGTCACCGAGAGTTACACCGACGCCCTTATTTTGTTTCTCGCAACCTCCGCCAGGGCATTATTTGCGCCTTCTCGGTGGCCAAAATCGTATCTGAAAGACGCCCTGAAAGACGCCCAGCCCGCTCGCGGCCAAGGGCGCCTCCTCATTTGCCTCCCATACTTCCCAATGAATGGCCAAACCCTCAATACACGGCTCTGGTTGCACACATATGGCTGAACCCTTTTAATCCGGCGGCGGCTAGCGCCATAGGTGACAATACGAGAAACTACTAGTGTGTGAGAGAAAGAGAGTGTGTACTAAGGCCAGCATTTTCGGCAAACTGTCTAAAACCGAATGCAGTGCGTATGAACTTAAAAATCGCATAGCAGGGTCCACTTTTTCTCCAAGATCCAGTGCACCAAAGTTCAGAAGATCCAATCAACAGGGATCTGACGTATCTGTCGTGAGCCTTTACCTAATCATGTTGACACATTATGAACTTTCAGAATAGGGGCCCCCAGCACTTCGGGTCCCCCGAGCAGTTTGGGGACCCCTATTCTGGATGAATGGATAGTTAACTGTACCCTTTGTAACGGGCGGTAGGTTGCGCCTTTTAACCTAAAATAACAAAACAAAAGAACACACACAAAAAAAAACACTGATTTCTTATTTTTCCTTTTAAGCCAATCTGTTTCTGTAACTATCACCAGACCATGAAGGTGATAACCAGGCAGACCTTTGGGGGATCGGGAAAAAAAAAAAAAAAGCTAAAAACATTACTTCTCGCCTCCTACCCCCGGCGAGGGAGCCGCCAATTTTCTTCTGGTCGAACCTTGTCGGCATCAGCTAATACCAGACCCACTGGGGGCAGGGTTGAGACTTAGGGCCGGAGTCACGCGGGAAGGAGTCCAAATTTTCCTCTTTCCTGCCTGTGTCCGAGCTGTGCTTGTTAGTTGTACTTCGTTCAGTTTTCTCTAGATAATTTTTACCAGCGCTGCAATCTCCCGTTTGTTGCCTCTACCCTTCTATAATCCACCAGTCTTCTCAAGCGAAACTTAGGGCCATCGGTCCTAAGCTTAGTCCTGCCCCTTCGGGAAGTGGAGGACTAAGCTCCTTACATTTTAGAATCACATGCTTAACTGTTAACGTCTCCTCTTTACATATTGCCCACAATGTATGTCTTCAAATTTGGCCTATATATTTTGTTCTTAGGACTCCGTCCTCGCCTCAAACAGCAGAGGACAAGAACCCTCTTGAGTTATAGAATAAACCTTCCTTTTTTATTTCTTGATTTACACTGTATTTCCTCCTCACACAGTCATATATTTCTGCGTACCTAACTGCCTTTTCCACTGAACACGTTTGCTCCACCCCATGTCCCATCTGCAGGAATTTCATCCTAAGCTTTCGTGTCCGTTTCGTACATTTCGTGTTCACACATCTCATATAGAGGTATTTATAGATTTTATACGTCCACCGCATGTCCTCCGTGTCTTTGGTTAAAATTGATTTTACTCACTGCGTCTCTGCTCTCAAACGATGACCCACTCATATCACCCTGCACTCCCTCGTTTGAAATATTCCCATGTGCCCCTAAAGATATCCTGCCAAGCTCCTTTCTCCTATCTTCAATCTCGCCTGAACTTCAAAACTCCTGCACAAGACTGTGTTACCAAAGGTCAAACCTGGTACCATTACTCCTTTCCATATTCCCCACACCCCTTCGTATCTATTAGTTCCATAGCACCTCGTGTTTCATAATGGACAAATTCATTTTACCCTTACCAATTTATGTCTCCCACATTCCTCGAGGTATTTCTTTCCTTCGTTGATCCATACTCCCAGACATTTGAACTTGTCTACCATATCTATCTCTATGTTCTGTATCTTTAAACGATCTCTCTTGATGTCGTTAGTCTAAGTAGGTAAGTGGAAAATTACGCCAACCGCAAAACGACCATTTCTCCGACTAGACAACAAAAAAACCGCTAAATGTAGTTGGGAAAACGCTAAATTGGCAAGACTGTCCTATTGTCTACCTTTAACTCTGTTTCCTACTTTTGCTCTTATCTTCTTCCTTCAAACATTTAGGGTGCTCATAGCCGCCAACGGCATGTCCAAGCCCAATGTTCCAACGTTTGCGGGAAGTGACCTGACCGTCGGCTACGAGGACGTCTCGACGGACATTGAAGACTTCGAAGCCAAGACGGTCCTGGTACTGGGCAGGGGCAACTCCGCCTTCGAGACGGCCAACCACATTTCATCGGCCACCAACTACGTCCATCTATTGGCCAGCTCACCACCGAGGTTCGCATGGAGTACGCACTACGTAGGCGATCTCAGGTGAGGCCTTCTTAGCTTAGCGGGTAATATACACCACTGTGTTTCAACGTAGCTTGACAAAAAGCGAGAACACAGGGGTGGAACTAATGAAATGTACTTGGGAGCAGCCACGGGAGCAGCTGAAACAGCTGTTTTGGAGCAGGTTGGGAGCAGCTAAAACTACATTCTGGAGCAGGCTAGGAGCAGCTCAGGTCAATTTTCATTACACTTCAGCTTGTGTCTTAGACAAGCACGGGAGCAATTTCAGTTGTGCTTAGCAGCACAGATAAACATGAGTAGGCAGATGGGATAACAGTGTAACAGATGCGAAAACTTGGATTTTTGTGAGCCTTGATATTTTCTGAGTGGCTTTCAGCTGCTCAAAATGCAAACCAGCACTGCTTATCGCACAGCCCACACGTGCTCGACAGTGATTATATGTGCGAACCACTTGACGTGCGTAAGCAACGGACGTGCAGTTGCGCGGAGGAACAGGGTAACGAAATTCGAGTTTATCCTATTGTGCAATTCAATATCGAAGCAGCAGAGTATGATTAACGGAGTTATCGTATTCGAAGCGATAAGCAGGAGCAAGGTAAAGTACGCCGAGCAGATCTACCGCTCCCGTGAGAGCTGCTGGCCGGCAAAGTTTCGAATCGGACCGCGTTTCAGTTCTATCAAATCACGATTTATCTTGCGGGAGTGCGTTTCCAACTTCTAACGATGAAGTGCTAAAAGGAATATTTTGCTCATTTGTTTTCAACTGACTGACGTCCGGATCCCGGGCCGCAGCGCCTCAGGCAATCTGGCGCTTAACGACTCGACCTCACCTCGGCCGACTTGTTTAACCGCTGATGGTTAAAGAATAACAATCCAGTGGCAGGTGCTGTAGCGCTTGGAATCCGACCCCCAAGTTCTTCACATTTCCGACTCGGGATACACAGACAGAATAAAGAGAATAAAGGATTGCGAGGCCGACCAATATAAACGCAATCATTGTTGCCAATCGAGTCGATAGAAACCGAAACCAAGACAAAATACAAGTTTTTTGGTGCACGTTTTGCGATTTGGTGCATATTGGCGCGAGGTATTGGCTGTGACGCAGTTTCCGAAACATGGCACAAGATGGTGCAGACAAGTGCGTCTGGCGCAAAATGGCGCAAATGGCGCAGCCAATAGCTGCACCCCTGGAACAGCGATCACAGCGAGCCCATGAGAGAGTCGGAGCGTGGCAGATGACAGCTCATCAGAGGGCCTCCCTCCTGTGCAGATTAACCATTTGCTTTGGTCCGTTGTTCTGCCTGGTTGACGAGAACCGTATCGTTTGCGCTTTGCCAAATTAGGCTGAAACTGAGATCGATAATACTTGAGCGAAACAGTCAAAGCACACAATTTGCCTCTCTTCATTTCGTATGTCTCGTCGTTCCCATTTGTGTTGTCGATCTCAAGGGACCTGCGACAGAACTCCAGCTAAATTTCTTACAAACCAATTAATTACCCAGTTTTGTGTTTCAGCCACTAGGCACTATAAATGTTGAAGTCCTAACCATCTTGATGACTTCAGTTTCTTCCTTCAGTGCTAAAGCACAATGATGTAACAGTATGAACAGAGATTTTATATGGGACAGTATCATTATTTCTCAGCACCTCACGGTCAAATACCAGAAGTGATTTGCAACACGCCGTGTACAGTGCTCGAGATCGCGCACTGCACGTCGAGATCTATGCGCTTGCGTTGGTCAAACAGAGGAGTATCACAAGACAAAAGCACTATCATGTACCTTGTCCAAAAACGGTGCAGTATTGTCAAAATACAACGGTACGAAGCCGGTGAATTAAAAGCCAAAGTCCAAGTTACGACATTCGAGCGTCCAAACTTTCCAGCGGCAGTAATCTGAAAAAACAAAACTGCAGGGCCATCAACAACGACCTCTTGGACCATTACCAGCTCAAGTCCCTAGACGGACTTCTGGAAGCGGACCTTCGAGAACTGAGGATAGTTAGGACGCCCAGTGGGAAGATGGCAGTTCACGTAATCAACGACACCTACAACTACGTGCCCCCAGAGGACGAGTATGACGCCGTGATCCGTTGCCTCGGGTTCACCTACGACGACACCATGTTCACGGAGTGAGTACCACGATGCGCACGCGACTGATCACGACCGACTCCTACAAAACCGGCTTTTACGCTGTTTATGACCGCTATCGCTGCTGCTGTTTCGTGGCCTGTCGTAAGAAGTCCCAGAGCGGCTTGAAAACAGGTGGCGTCGGAGTTGGATTTTTAAACAAAGTGTTGAACGTGGTCGAGTTGCACGAACTAGAGCCCTTTTTTCTGGGCTCTAATTCATGGACTCTTTAACACGGAACTACAGGTCAGCTCGGCCTGAGAGAGGAGCGGGACGCAAGCGCAAGTTTCCGCTCATCAACAACGATTACGAGTCGGCCAACGTCCCTGGCATGTACTTTGTCGGCGCTGCGAGTCACTCTCTGGATTTCCGGAAGGCTGCCGGGGGTTTCATTCACGGCTTTCGCTACGCAGGTATGTACGCGGTTGTTCGCGGTAAACGCGTGGGGTGGCTTATGCGTAGAGCAGTTCTTCCCGCCAACTGGACACTGCATGCCTAATCTCGTGCCTTCAAAATGGCAGACGGTAGCTGTAAAGATTCCTGCAAGAATACACTATAAGATACAGTTACCCGTGTCAAAATGTACCTAAGGTAGATATCTGGATACTACTTATTTTTATATTTATTGACATACAGATAGTTACTCCAAAGGTGCACTTTGCTGCCCAAGTCTGAGAAATATTAATTACGAATCGGCGCACAGGTAGACAGTTACTCAAAATCAAAACACACACAAAAATACACTCGCACATTACACCCCCCCCCCCCCCCCCCCAGCCACAGATTTCAAACTTCCTCTTCTTCGACCCCAAGGAATAGGTTGTGTGAGTGTATTTTTGTGTGTGTTTTGATTTTGAGGGGGGATCGGTGGCCGAGTGGTCCAGCTCGGAGCACGTGGAGCAAAAGCTTGCGCTGCAGAACCCAGAGATCCTGGGTTCAATCCCCACCCCTGCCCGTTTCGATCTGGATAAGCACCGTACCGGCGTGCGGTTGTGCACCACTACTGCGTGGTGCATGTTAAAGACCCCAGGCTAGCAGTCGTACTGCACTGCTTAAATTGCTTATCTACAGTGGGTAACAATGTCGCCATGGTCTGGCAGACTAAACTCCTGCTGTATAAACAACTAACGACTAATTTTTTTTTTTTATTTTGAGTAACTGTCTATTTGTTTGTAATTATGCCTTACCAACTTGCCCAATTTGCAGTATCAAGAGGTTTTATTTCTGGGAAGTAATGAATAAGAAACGTAACAGATGTTGTGTAGCCGGCCCTGGCAGCATTTCAACTGCTAATGGTTTGCAAGGAACACTGAGATATCGCCGTCTGTTAAACCACTTGAGGAATATATTGAGCACAGCAGGAAATTTTCAGTACCGTTAGAGTGTGCTAGAAAGAAAGAGTGGGGCCACCGGAAGGCTATTTTGGTACCTCCGCATGTGGAAACAAAATGGCTAATCCAAGCCACTTCGCTCGTAGCGCCCTCTCGGTCGCTAGGAGCGAAGTGGTTCGCATTAGCCGCTCTTTATGAAAAACGCGTTTCGTTCCAACGCCAGCCTCGACCAGCATGTGACCAGCACACTGGTCAAGGTCATAGAAACGATAGAACGCCAGACTATATTTTTTATACAACCTAGATGTCTGGCGTCACATACATAAAGCCACCCCGACCTGACTTGTTGTCACAACGCCATGCGACATCAGAACGACGCCTTGATGTCAACGTCGTCATCGACGTTGACAACGTGCGTTACACGACATCAAGACTGCGTTCTGACGTCATATTGCGTTGACGACGACGATGATGTCAACGTAGACGTTGATGACGACGACGACTCATGCAACTGAAAGCATGAGCGGAGGCTATAGCCCGTCCCAGTCGTTCCTTCTAGTTCACTCTAGTACCGTCGAGTGGTTCTCAATAAGGTGCATTTGACCTGTTGACAACTGCGGCGTTTGTCCGTCTGCATGGTGGGAATGTGTCATTAGGGACATGAGCCTATCAAGTCGTGCCATAATGTTTGACCCCTGCATTGCCCGTGTTGCATCTATGCCAGCAGAACCTTAGGTAGGAAAATTTTCCTAGCCGTGTTAGGAAAATTTCCCGTCATGCGAGGGAAGTTTCCCTAGAGGGGCCGTCTTCACTAAACATGCATAAAACAATGAAGTATGGAAGGGGCAGTGTCAAATGCACCCCATGCCCTACACCAGCTGCACAATGAAATCTATCTTGCAAGGCTAGGGGAATTTCCCTAGTTTATGTACAGCTGGCGCACATGCGACACACATAGTGCAGGTATTAAACATAGCAGTCAGACTTGGTAGCAACAGCTGGCGTAATCTTACTAAGGAAATTTCCCGAGTCGTGTAGGAAAAATTTCCCTAGTTGTGAGAGGGAAGTTCATTTTAAAAAGGCATAAAACAATGAAAAGTGACAAAAAAGTGATGGCGCAGGCAAGCTGATATAGCTTTATAATTTTCTTCAGCCACCCGAGACAGGGTGGAGAACAAGAAAAAGTCAAAGTGGAAAAGAAGTGAACGAAGGCAACGCCAACTTTCATCAAAATGCAGTTTAGAAAATTATCGGCCGCCGCAAGGCGGCGTTTAGGGGCGGATCATGTGGGTTAGCATTTTCGACTGCCGCCCTGCCGCAGCGAAGCGGCGTGAACGCAGCGGGAGAATGTTAAGCCACGTTTCCGTTATTCGCTCAAATGGCACTGTTCCATTCGCTCAAATAACACTGTTCCCCGAAAACTCATTTGCTCATCTGATATGGACCCCAACGTTCTCAATGTCGCCAACCAACTCTGAACTTGGTTGGCGACCCTTGAGAATCTTGTACATAGCATGAAGATGCCACTGAATGAACAAGTCAGTTCTGAGACGTTGCCCCCTGTCATTGGGTTCCTTTCTCTTCCACTTGTGATTCTTTGTATTTTTAACCCACTTTCGGGTGGTTTAAGAGAATGATAAATGAGAGGTGGTAACGGTTGGCATTGGGCACAGCCCGCGTCCTGCACCGGCTGCTGGAGTTCAGGTACCACGGAGTGCAGTGGCCGAGCGTCCGGAGACCGCTTGCCGAGCTCGTCGACACATTGGTCCGCAGGATCAACGAAGCATCGGGCATCTACCAGATGCACAATTTCCTCAGCGAAGTGGTCATCATTGATCGGTAACTTTTTGTAATGTAAAGAACGAGATACACCAACGTTTTAGAAAAAAGTATTTAGTTTTTGGTGAAATGGAAATTATTAGGTCCAAGCCCGACTCATAAATCCACCCCTGAACAAAGAACGCACTAGATCGGTCTGCTCATCTTGTGCTGCTTGGTGACTCGTGATTGAGTTTCAACATTGATATTCCCCGCAGGCGTACCATGGAGTTTGAGATGCTCGAGGAGTACCCACTAGGCCTCGTGACCGAGCTCGCCGAGCGGACCGGCAGAGACGGAAGCGAACTCTTCGTCGTCGTCATGAAGTACCACCCAGACTTCTCCGGACCGCGGCTCGACACTTTTCACTCGCAGAGGTCGACGGCCGACCTCGACAAGGCGCACCTTTCCAACTTCCTCCATCCAGTCATCTATTACTACAAAGACGCTTCTCAAGGTGCGAGACTAGAAGGTTGTCTTGAAGGGCAACGAGCAGTCGGAAGGGAGGAAACTCTCCCTCCATTCCTCCTTTCCAATTTGAGAAAGAGAGATACCCTCTTTTCTGCGGGGAGTAGCTCGAAGCAACATGCAACTGTGCTCGGAAACCCGCTCATGTGAAAGAGGAGAGAATGAGAGAGCAAATGGGGAGAAGGAGACAAAGAAGCAGTTTGATTCTGCAGCCTCGTCCTTTAAAGAGCAACTCCGGTCCATACTTTTGATTTTGGGATTAAGACTGTTTTTAGCGCAGTCAGCGTCCCTGAATTGCAAGGTGTAATTTTTTTCTCGTTATTGTGCGTAGTTTTAAAGATATCGACGCCTCAAAGTTTTGTTTGGAGCGCGGCCAACCAAACCGAAACTAGCCGCTCGATGCCCCAGCAACACTGGAAATCAGTCACTATGTGAATGTGACGTCAGGATCGTTCTCGTGCAACGAGTACGCAACCCGAGTGGCACCCACCTCTGTTGCGCTAGCCGTCTAAAGATGTAAGGTAAGCTGATTTTGTTTTAATTCTGTATACATGGTAGTTATCCAGCATATGTAATAAGAGTTAGTGCGTATACCCAAAAGCTAGCAACTGGAAAACCCGTGAACTCGTTCGGTACCATACTCGGCGGCCACCGCTGTGCGTGCTCTATGCCGTACTCGTCGCTCGTATACCCTAAAGCTTGCAACTGGAAAACAAGTGAACTCATTCGGTGTCGCACTCGGCGACTGTCGCCGTGAGTGCGGTCTTCCGTACTTGTCGCTAGGCCTAAATTGTCATCGGGGCGGCTCCGTCGATGGAGCGCCGTTGCTCTACGCCGCGCTGCCAGTGACGTACAGTACTGGGGGCCCTCTCGCTTTTGCGCTGCAGGTCAGTCCCAGACACAAAGCTTTGAGGCTTTCCGGAGTGGGCCGCGGCGCCCGAACACACGTGTGCTGGGCTGTACACGTCTGTTTTCTCGTTCTTTTTTCCTCAGGCGCAAAAAAACCGAAGTCCAAAGTCCATTCGTCGAACAGCGTTCACCCACGCGTTCTCCGAATTCGGGTGCGTTGGAAACTTGTGAAAAAGCACCTCTGGGTAGCGCAGCGGGTTGTTTTAGCAGCCCACAGCGCTACAAGTTGTACTCGGCATCTTTCGAGGAACAGCTGGGCAGTCTTGGGCGCACAGAGTTGCTCGCTAAAACGAGTACTGGAGTCCTCACAAGCAAATAAACAAAAGGCTATACCGAAGCTACACGGGCTGCAGATAAAAGCAATGGCAAAACGCGCCAATCGCAACCCGAAGTAGCGGTGCTCGTGGCTCAAAGCGCACTACGCACAACGCCCGTACCAGAGGAAAAAAAAGAGAACGATACAGACGTCACGGCCGAATGTTGCTTTAGCGGTCGGCAACCCACTGGCCGCCCGCTAAGGAGCAGCGGCTCACGGCGGGTCGCATTTTTATTATCGGCACTAGTTGAGAATGCGGCGTCCCCCGACGTAATTTTTTGGCTGGGGTCGTATTTTGTGTCACTACAGCGATACCAGTAATTTATTTCATTTTGAGTTTTGTCCGGAGTTGCCCTTTACAACAAAATACAACAAATGCTGTTGCGGCAAAAAAAAATAAAAAAAACATACACCATTTTAAACAACACATGAAAGTTTGAACTCAAGACTGCGCACATTCTGGATAGGGTCATTCACAAGGAAGCTGCAGTGCAGCACGAATCCTTCATTTCCTCCGTGTCAATATGCCTCGTTCCCAGAGTTATGGCGCTGGATTTGCCACGGCGCCAGAAACACAGGCGCTAAGATTGCATATAGCCCGACGCCGCTTCAAATTCCGCGTTACCACTGCCTTTGCCGCAGTAGTGGGGAAAGGGGCGCTTTTAAATGAGTCAGCATTTATGGCCCTGGTGCATGCAACCGTCTTTCGTTTGGACCGGTTGCGTGAGGCTGTGGTGCGGTTCCTGCCGCACCCTCTCGCATCGTTGGCTTGTTACATCCAATCTGCACCTTACAGTCACTTGTTTTAGTGACTCGGGCAAATTCAGCAGTTGGACTTTCCTATCTAGAATGTGTCCCTTCCAACGACCACCGCAAGATCGGGAGAGGAGGGGACAGAGCGGCTGTGGCGGTGGCACAACGTACGCGACGTCAAATCGAGGCGCAGCACGAAACAGTCTGCGCGAACCCGCCGACACCCGGGAAAAAAAGATTAGCTTTCCGAACACAACAGTATGAGGACCGTTGCGAGGTTCGGAATTCCCATCCTTCGTTGAGTTAAAAAACTAGAGCTAATGCGAACGCATTTCGTCGAGTATTGGCGTAGCCACAGCAACAATTTTGGCATCATTTTTGCTTTTTTTTTTTTATACGAGGGCAGTTTCGAGCTACGAGAGGTCGAAAAAGAAGTGTTGCCTTGCAACCCCCACCCCTCTGGTTTTAGTGGGAAATCTACACATGTATAACGCAACCTGAATTGATCAATTCACTAATCACCTCATATTTGTTTATTTGCCCTCGCAGGCAAGAAGACGCGAGAGCTCGGGGAGGACCGAAGCCCTCCACAGCCGACGCGGGAACATCACGTCCTCGAGGACTTCCTCACGCGCTGGACGTCAAAGCGCCTCCACGTCGAACCGCTGAGGAAGTTCTTGGAGAGCTGCCTCCAAATGAGCCTCCGGCAACCGACAAACCAGTGCACCGGGCGCCCAAGCGGCCGGGACAACGCATCCTCCGTGTCGCCCGGCTGTGCACCGCAGTCGCCCCGGGAATCGCACTTCACTCACACCCACCACGCTTCCCGCGATGTCGACATCTAACGGTCAATGTTCGTCATAGCACGGATTGGTGTAAATAGTGACCAGATTCTAATGGTGTCTGCCATCCCTATGGTCGCTGACGGGTCGAGGGTAAAATGGAAGCTCCTCCCACCTCCTCTCCAGCGTTCTCCCTGCTAAAGGGGGAAAAGGTGGGAGGAGCTTCATCTGAACTCTTCACCTGTCATCGACCATAGCTTTAAGCAGGAAGCCAGATAAGCTGTACTTTCTTATTTATGCGTTACAGAGGCTACGGCTACACATTACAGCCGTAAATGCAGGTCGTGTCCCTGCTGAACCAGTGTGGTAGAGTCAGTGTGAGCATACGATGCACCCTAGTATTTAATGTTAAAACAGACAGTTGGATGCATGATGCCATAGCTGAGCTACACAAACTTACAACAACCTAGCTCTGACCTGACACGTCTGTTCAATGTTAAAAACTGTGCACGGCTTTGGATCAGCATGTAATGGAGGACCTTCCACAGAGGTATGAACATGTGGTTGCCAGGTTCTAGTTCACAGGATGTAGCAAAAAATGTAGACAGCACGGTACAGAATGTATTTTCGGCATTTCCGTTTGAAAGATGAAGAAAGCTGCAGAGTTTTGTTTTGATCAGCAGCAGAACAGGGGCCTGTTCTGCAAACCTTGATGTTGCCAGTTGCATTCGTAGCACTGGTAGAATGAAAATTTAAGTTGTTTGAAATGACAGATAAATGTAATTGTCTCAATCCACAACATTTCTTTTAACAAAACGTGTTGGCCAACATGCAACCTCAGTTTTCTGCAAGGAAGATAATCGTCTTAGCACTCCCCTCCCCTAAGCTGCGAGGGGAGCCAGGTTGTGGCAAGGTAAAAAGTGGAGAGAATATGGGAAAGGAGGCAGGTAAAAGTGGCAAGTATGAAGCATATGTTGGCCTTTAAGTGAGAGCTCTTTTATTATAGGCCCCAAAAATGCCAATTTAACTTTATTGCATTCCACAAGCACTGCCATATTCAAGCATTATATGGTCAAGATGGCAGTGGTCTCAAGTAGTTTTAAAGTAGCTTCGAAACATTCACAATGTCTTGGTGGACACTGACAGTGCCCTCCACCATTTTTAAATTACTTTTATTAAAAATATGTTTGTGCACTTTCCGAGCATTTGGTAAAATAAAATTTTGTTAAGAGTTGGCATTCATATGAGAGTTTTTCTTTGCAATCGTTTCCCTTCATGCTATACATAAGGAGTGGCCAGGCTGACCTGGACTAAGAGCTGGGAACAAAACTGCTAAACCTCCAAGAGCCGCCTGGAAAAGGAAAGGCAGAAAAAAGGGGGCGGGGGGGGGGGGGGGTAAACTTTTTCCCAGAGCAATCAATGAAACTTGAACTGCTTTAAATCAATCCAAGTCCAAAGCAGTCCAACTGTACGTAAGGTAGTAGAAGCACAAGACTACCAAACCACAACCTGTCTTGTAATCTTCAACGCGTTCCATTTCTCTTTTTGGGGAAGTGCTCGTGTGACGGGGAAGGGGGGGGGGGGGGGGGGACTGTTAGGTTTACCAGGGAGCCACGAGCCGCACTTTAACTCGCAAAGAGCCGCATGCTTGTTAAAGACCAAACACCAAGGCACCTAGGGAACCAGAACAAATCAATATTTGCTAAATGACCCCAAGGCACCAATGCAGCAGGTGCGCCTCGAGCAAACATCACCATCGCCAAAAGATGGAACTAACAAAACGTAAAATTTATTCCTAAAGTTAAGTGATATCTACTGCCGCCTCACATTATCAGGAAATCCATTTGATGAGGTAGTAGTTCTTTTTCCCTGCAAAAATAAAGAAAAATTCCATGACTTTTTTTCGTACAGTGGGAGGCTTCCAAGAAACGAGCCACAGCCCAACTTCTGCCGATCAAAAGCAGTTTGTAAAACACTCCTGTTTTTGACAGATCCTCAAGGGCATTCAATCCTCAGGTTTGGCAATCATCCATTCAGAACCTGTCATTATCACCAATTTTTGACAAAAAAAAGAAAATTAAAAGTGCCGCAAATGTGATTTTTCCTCGACCGTGGCCGCATATATCTGCATGTTTCATGGTTGCTCTTGCTACGCTAAAGGTTGATTCAAATTTGCGGTGCAAATATTTACATGGCACGAAATAAGTTTGCCTCGCGATATTGCAACCGGGGCCCCAAGTTTGACACTCGGCGAGAGAGGGGGTGAAATCGCTGACCACAGCTATTAGACAGCGCCAAGGTCAAGGGCAGTGCTAGCCAATCGTGGTGGTTGGCGACCTTGCAGAGTGCCCCAACTCGGCCCCCGGTGTGCCCACAGTGAGAAGAAATTTTGCCTGCCTAGACAAACTGCTAACATGCTGGTCCCGTTGAACATTTCTAGCGCAGTGCGTTTATCTTTTCAATCGTAACATTCAAAGACTGCAACCCGATGCGAGCGTAGTCATTCTCTTTTTTATTGTGTCGATCCACAAAACTGGAAACTTTGCAGAGCTGCAGAAAAACAGCAGCAAGCTTCAAAATTGCTACTTCAAAGCAAATATTTTTTAGGAATTATTTTGGCACCAAAGGACTTCCCTTGACGAGCACCAGATGGCAGTAATTGCAGAAGCATGGAAAGCAGTAAAATGGAGAGCTTGTACATGATACTCAAAACAATGTGCACCGTAAAACGGAAACAAAAGGGGGACACAACACGAAGCATTTCGTATTGCGTCCCCCATCTTCTGCCCCTGTTCTACGGTGCACAGTTGTAAAAATCATGCCAAGCAGTTTTAAAGTGCGTCGCACACTCTAGTCTGCCACAACATTACATATGCAGGGGAAGTTCTGCTTCCAGCATGTGCTCGGTCATTGCCTTCAGTCATGATGTGGCTGCACGCGCCTATGTGTTATCAAAGGTAGAAAGCTTTCATTGGAGACCGTGCTTCTACAGCAGGTCTGCATATGATACAATACTGCTGCAGATCCGTCTATCCATGATATGTGGCAAAAGACTAAAGCCACCACACAAATGTTGTGAACCTGCGACTAAGCAGTGATTACATGAATGTAGCAAGCGAGTTCAATGTGCGTCGCACAGTAGCGATTACACAAAGGATGCAAGCGGGTGCAACGTAGTTGAAATCAAAGCGCTTGGCAGATGTCGAAAAACTAAAACGAACTCACCAACTCGGGCCAAGGTGATTTTGTTCGGCAAGACGTGGACGCCAGGCACGATGACGTGACTGGGAGCGTTGACGCGATGCTGGTTAATGTAGAAGCCACCGGCGCTGATGATGCGCACAGCGTCCTCTGCACAGGTGCAAGAAAAATGCCATCGCCCGAGCTGTTGAGAGTTCACACAGCACCCTCTTGCAATCGCGACAATGGCCGACATAAATCTTTCAGTCAAGCTTAGGTGTGGAGCGTATGAAATACTTTTCTCTCATTAACAGATAACCCCAGTCACAAACAATTTGTATCTTTCTTAAGAGTAAAGAACGACGTTTAAGAAAAGACCAAAGTGAAGTACACAGAGCTTCAGCTCAACGCTACTCCAACTCTTAAATAAACATAGAAAACCATTATCACCTATTAAAACTTTGCGAGGACACGTAGTGGTTTAAACAACGGGGAGAAAAGGTTTTTAAACTGGACGTAGAAAGCTCAGTGTACATTTGATAAAAGTTTGAACTTTCTGTGTGCAGGTGCCAATTCTTCTGGCTCGTTTTACGGCGCAAGATCCACCGTAGCCCACCCTATACCGTAATATCTCGAGAAATAGCACCCTTAAAACTAGGGAGACCATATTCCTCAAGGCAGAAAACGGGACTTCCCACCCCGGAAGGGGGGGGGGGGGGGGGGGGGGGGGGGGGGGAGAGAGAGAGAGAGAGAGGAGGAGGAGGGGGGAGGGGAGTGGGGCATACTAAAGATTGAGATTTAGAGAAAAAATTTAATGCAAGAACTGCTATTTCAAAGCGTTAACGTATTACATGCGTGCTGTATTCAGTAACTAAAAAAAAAAAGAAGATATTTCTATTGACGAGTCAATACAAAAAGACGTGTTTGTGGGCAAGAACAGTTCTCTCAATTTTACTGGGTAAATATTTTAAAGTACCTACGTCTTTTTTTTTCTTTTTTTGTTAAATATACTTGTAACAAGTTGGCATAGTTTCCGCTTGCTTCAACTCGCTTTGTGCAAATTTCGAAATTATGCACTCCTGCGAAAACGGGACATCATTCTTTATTGAGACAAAAAGACGGGACGGCCGAAACGGACCTCAAAAACGGGACTGTCCCGGCCAAAACGGGACGTCTGGTCACTCTACTTAAAACGCGAGTCGAGTGATGCAAATCGGGATATCTTAGGCCCCGAGTTCATAAACGAGTCTCCTCTCCTCTCCTCATCCAGTATAGGGGGATATGGAGAAAGAACCAATATTCTCGAACCTGCGTTCGTCCCGCGCGAAAGTAAATCGAGGATACACTGCATCCTCAACTAGCATGCATCGAAAGCACCTCAGACCGGTGCACTTAACTCGCTCAAAATAAGGGCATGGGCGTGCGATAAATCCTTCAATGATCTTTGAAATGTCTCAAATAGGGGGTGGCCACTTATCGTGACATGGGTCGACGCTCGGTAGTTTACGGTTTATAGGTGCGACTTACACGGAGGTGCAATTCATAGACTGGAAAATATGGTAGGTACAGACAACGCGTTTCCTGCGAGCATGCTCGTCACTACCAATTTCCAAGCGAGGTATTAGAGCTCGGTCAATTCCCGTACCTTTGCTCGGGAAAAGCCTGGCTTTCATGGCCATGTCCAGCACGGTCGTTCCTGGTTCTGGAGCCAGCTGGACGAATCCGGCGTCGCCGAAGATGAGCCGAAGCTCTTCCTCGTCCAGCCTGTGAAGGGTCTCGTCCGCCCGCGATCCGCCAAACAGTATCTCGGTCGCGTTCTGTGCCAGGCTCAGGCCCCTCTCTGCAACCGGATTGTCAACGTCGAGAGGGCGGAAACGTTGCTTAGGTTCGTCTGTGCCAACGGCTATGCGTGTGGGAAGTTAGCGGTCGCTAGAAATGTCGAGGGTACAGTAAACTTGCATTATTTCGACCTCGGTTATTTAGGCTTGTCGTTTAATTCGACCCTGTTCAAAGGTCCTGGCAAAACCTTATACAAACGAATCATTTAGTTCTGAAATATAAGATATCGGTTAAATCAACCTAGAGAGAACCGGCAATGGGAAAGTTAGAAGCGCGATGAACCCCGCCCGTCGGCGAAAAACCCCGTATTGAAATTTAGACTGAATTGCGAAAAGAGAGCGCATGTTGAGACACGGGACATGGCCGGGTCTTGACACATAACAACAATTGAAATGCTGCAGCGGCCGATCATTATAAAAATGTTAGCCCGCCTGATCTAAAGTGCTGGATACAGTATTCAAAATTTCGCGGACATCTTTTAATTTGACTTTCGGATAATTCGACCCAATTTCACGTGTCCCGTCAAAGTTGAATTAACGGAAGTCGACCGTAGAACGTTTCAGTCATATCTACAGCGTGAAGGCTGGTCTGTACGCACGGGACTCCTGACCACTCTACCCAGCAAATAAATATTATGTATTGTCGTTACGAAAGAGTGCCTTAAAACATCTTGGGATCTCTTACGAGGGTGGATAGCAATGAAACACCCAGCATTTCCATACATTTTGTTTCTCTCGGCGCATCATTCTTTCCTTTGTAGCTCGAAAAAAACTCCCGAGAATTTTATAAACAGGCTTCCGCATTTTCAGTAAATGACGATAAACCCTCAAAATTTACCCCCCAGCTTGGTTTTATCGAAATTAGGGGGAAACCGAAAAACCTAGAATGTAGAGCCGTCCTTGAAGGAAAAAAATCCAAGCTTCGTGGGAAAAGATATTTGTCTGCAACGAACTGTCCGCGAGGTCGTTTCGCTCTTCGGGACCACGCACATTATTTCAATTTCCAAGTAGCCGGGCAAAGTGTTCGTTCCCTGAAGGTTGGGGAATTGCGTCCGTGCCCTGGTTTCTTCGACAGAAGTCCCGACCAAGCATAATTTATGCCAATAAAGCGTAATCTATCGTTTTCTAATAGAAAATGTGAAAGCCTGCTGTGGGCCATTGAGATATTTAATTCAACGAAAACAGAAAGGTGAGAAAATTATTCCAACACTGTTTCTGTTCCTTCTTTTGTTGGATCAAATGACCCGCAAGAGGCATTAGTTTAAAACGAGACATAGGAGAAACCTTTTTGTTTTCTGTAAGTTACCAATGTAGCTAATTTCTTCTTCAACATTTTCACAACACAAATACACTGCCAAGTCAAACTACTGCAGTAAATTAGTGCATTGTGGCACGCAATATTGATTTTCGAAATTGGTTTGAAAATGCATCAGATCAATTTGGTCAAAGCAGCACTTCTGGTTTCCTGCGACGAAACAGTACCCTTATATGCAAACCTTTTGATAGTCCAAGTTCAAGGGCTGGACTCAAAGGACAATAAAAGAATATGCTTACTAGAATGGAAAGTTGGGCGAGTTGGTATGAATTCATTTTGAAAAACAGCGCGAATACCACACGGTATTCGCGTGTGGTATTCGCGCTGTTTTTCAAGAAGAATATGCGGTTACCTCCGTGGACAAGGAGCGTCATATCCCGAGCCAGTCTCTTCTGGGCCACCCTCTTTTCTGGACTTTTCTGCAAGAAATGCAAGCAAGAGAATACGAGCTGGCATTAGGAAACATACAGCTTCAGTGAACACAAAAAAATTGGGTTGTGTGTATGTTTATACAGCCTAGAACTTGGTCCGCCTCAACGGGCGATGAGTCTCCCAACTGTAGATGAGCAATTTAGCCAGTGCAGTACAACCGCTAGCCTGGGGTCTTCAACGTGCACCACGCAGTAGCGACACACGGCCGCACGCCGGTACGATGCTCATCCAGATCGAAATGGGCGGGGGCGGGGATTGAATCCAGGATCCCTGGGTTCTGCAGCGCGAGCTTTCGCTCCACGTGCTACGAGCTGGTGTGCGCTAGACCACTCGGCCACCAATCCCCCTCAGTGTACACGTTAACGGCCGCAGGTCGTCTTCCGGTGCACTGTCGGGCGTGCCAATGTGCTCCTGACTTCCACCGCTTTGACATCGTGACAATACACCGAAAACAGCTCGCGAAAGGAATTCTGGAGGCCTTGGCCGTCGACGCGAAGAACAACGAATGCGTGAGCGCTGCTTCCATCGCTCTACGTCCCAAAGAAAAGATGTACGTGCAGGGAGCACGCCATGCGGGAAACAAGACCCGAAGAACGAAAACGAGGATTGACAGGCTGGGAGGCCGGCGAAAAGGTTATACCGCCCGAATAAGAAAATAAAAAATTATCGATAAGAAAATTAAAGAGAACAAAGACCAACGATTCAAGAGGGCAATGAAGAAGTCACCCCCTGAATATGAAAATTAAAAAATAATGATAAGAAAACCGACGAGGAGGAAGTTTATATCTCGGAACTCATGGGTTGTGGAAGAAGAGGTTTATCTTCAGTAAATGGTTGCTAGTCCAGCAGTGTGTCCTTTTCTCTCTCCTACGTACAGCTGGCATCTTTCAGAATCGTGAATCTCCAACCAGCTCCACCACGAGCAGCTGCCACAGACACAGCAAGCCAATCGGCGTGTCGTAGGGAAGACACGCGACCACACTTTATCTCGCTACCATAAAATACCGGGCAAGCACCCACTCAAACTTTGGAGCTAATCGCAAAAAAATGGGGGATGGACGCTTGTCCAAGCATCATTTTTACATGAAAATGTACTGTGTGCATTTTCTCAGATCTCACAAACTTGGTAATGGGCGCTTAATGTGGAATGGGCGGATGCACGGTATTCTACGGTAGTTGCACGCAATGCCGTCAAAGCCTTAGACCGCCAGTCGAGCCAAGCACTCAAACTTTTCTCTTTACTGATGCTGGCTGTCCCACCGAGCTAAATAGACCGAGCCATGTGCACTGACTGAGTTGGGTCAATCATTCTCCGTTTCAGACCTTCAAAGTTGGTCTTCACGCATTTAATTTACCCCATTTACCCTTTTGTCATTGCAATCGTCCAATGACAGCAATGTCCCAGACAGACAAAAGGAAATTCAGGTAAGAAGAAAGTTCCTCCGTCCCCCCTTCTCTGACTGCCTGGGCTACGCCCCCGTCACTGCTGTCACGTGCTTTTCCTCCGTTGCTCCCATGGGCTCGAAGGGGTCGTAGCATTCGCTTATTGTCGGGTTACAGCTAAGCGAGGTATATGAAACGTGATCGAGATCAGCGGTACTCTTTTGTACGACACTATGAAGGCGGCTTACCATCTGAGCTTCAATAAGGTTGTCCAGTTCTGTCTGCTCGGCGAAGGTGAAGAGTCGGAGGAACTTGACCGCTTCGGTGTCCGTAAGCCGCATGAAGAACTGTAGCAATGGTTGGCGTCTGAGCAGGTTTCCACACTTCACAATTTCAAACTCAAATCTGACCTATTCCTCGACTCCAGTATGCAGAACTAAAACGGCCTGAGGCGCCTTCCAAAAGACACTTTGCTATACATTGTCACAATGTTCAAAATCACTTTTTCCAGGAATTAGAGCGTAAGTCTCGTAAGCAAGAGTCTCTGGCACTTACAAAACGTGGAGTCCAGCAGGTTGAGCTAACCCCTTCGGCAGCAAAGCCTTTGTTTTCATTGCCCATAGAACAATGTAGCTTTTATCGACACTTTTCGAAACACTTGGTACGCGTCATGGCTGTAAAGCCCTTCTTGAATTGGGAACGTCTTTCGAAAGCTACAAGAATACGTGCACACAAGACCGACGAACACGCATCCGGATTTGTCAAGAAACAAAACAAACAAACAGGAAGGCCCTTATGGTTGCCTACCGTGTACTGGAAGAAATGTGACAAACCTGGTAAAGCTCGTATGGCGACGTCTTTCTCGGATTCAGCCAGACCGCATTCCCAGCCGACTTGCCGTACTTGTCACCGGTCTCGGCGGTAATCAGGGGCACCAGAATACCTGGGAAGTGACAGGCAGAGGATGGACTAGACACCATTTTTGTTGACATAGAAAGGAACCTTTCAAAGTCATAGGAAGTGCCTTCACATGACGCAGGAAGTGACTTCGAACAACACGTTGCAGGAACACGAACAGTAAAAGGCCCAGAAAAAAAGAAGACACAAGCCCAGACAAGGACAATGCAAGTATAACCGCCGATGTCCTTTGAATCGGCCGGCGGTTTTTTAGACGTAGGAACCGGGAAAGCAAACGCATTAAGCAGGAAATTAACATATGTGTTCCTATGGAAGCACTGCGGGACCGGCACTTCCGAACGTAAAAGCCGGGAAAACGAAAAGAAGAAAAACGGGAACATATCAAACAGGCTCCATCGTAATAATGTTAGAAGAAAAACCATGAAAATCGCAGTGGGGCAGAAAAGACGAGGCTGCGGACGAGACGACAGAAGTAGACAAGATATTGTCTAACTTTGGACCGAGTGATCTAGTCAAGAGGAGTGCACATGTAAAGGTAGGGACGTGCTCGGGAAAAACAATCAAGACAAAGACAGTTTAATCCCATGGAAGCACGACCTGTGAGGTTTAAATTGCTTAAAATTAAAAGCGTCTCTGAAATGAATAGGATCAACGGCTCATGTTTTCCCAAGAGACATAGTCATGTTGAACTAGCCCCGAAGGAAATAGATCACTTCGGGGCTAGAGGACGAGGATGTTTTTGCAGTGTCGAACACACCGTGCGATGATTACCGTAAGCAGTCTGCGTTCGCGTTCTTCGCAGCAGGTCATGGCCAGAGTCGATGTTGCCCAGTTGGTCACCGCCGCCAATCTGCCGCATGAACAAACAAAATGGAAGCGATCCATCACACAGTCTAAAATATCGCGAGCATGAGCACATTGATCTTTTTAAATAGGGTTGCTAAAAAACATAAATTTAGATTGTTGTTCTAAATGAAGCACTTAAAGTTTTCCCCTTCGAGCAAGTCTTTTGCTTTCTAGATACTTTTTTTATACTTCTCACAGATAAAGGAAAACAGGAGCCATCTCTGCAATTAGAAATGTTACAGTCTCACAAACCGAATGTAGATAAAGAGATTAAAGAAGACATGTTCTGTTACTTACACTATGATGAAAATATACCCGTCGATATACCTGCTGCCTTCAATGTCACATTCCCAAAGTACGAGCAAAGTCAAGGCAATTGTTTCTTGCCCTTACAAAATAATGCATCTACTGACTTTTTGTCAGACAATAAGCCTCCTAAGAATAAAGTCTCAAGATCCCAAGTCCTATGAGTTGGGATCACACAATTATGCACAGCCTGTACATGCTTAACAACCTGTTTGAATGAATGCTTTTTGCTCTGTTGGTATAAATAAATTCACTTTCCTGAGGTGAGCAGAAGAATCACAGTACTGTAAGTACAAAAATAAACAAACATCTGATGGGGCTGTTCCGGGCATTTCTCCTCAACAAATGCCACAAAATCTCGTTCTGATGAGGATGATTTGCTGCAACTGTTTTGCAGCACATTTCTTAAGCAAATCTCCTCCTGCAAATTAATTAGCCAAATAAAAAGTTCACAAGAACTAATATGACATTGTCACAAATGACGAAGTGATGACACAAAGAAGAACTGAGGAAACGAACATTTCATGTGGCGAACTTGTGCCAAACCAAAAAGGAAACGGAAGATAACAATAGAGCGCCAAAGGTGTTGAAGTCGGTGCAGCAGCAGGTTTGACCGCAAGAGCAAGACTGACCGCATGCAGCAAGGTGCGGTCTCTTTCCTAGCCTCACGGGAGTCTAGAACGATCTGTCTAGAACATTTGGGCATGGAAGATTCCGTTCTCGAAAACCAACAAAATTCTCATCTCTTCTGGAACATTCCAGCACACAATGCAAATAAAGATAAAAAAGAAGAGCAGTACCAGGCATCGAACCCCAGTCGCTTACGTGGGAGACAAGTGCGCTGGCAACTTGGCTAGCTATGCACGTGGCAATATTATATTCCCTGATGGCAACATTCTGTGTCATCCAAATGGCGCAACTTTTGTCTAACTGAAAGGTACTCAAATCTCCGACACAAAGAACAAAATTTGTGCCATCTTGCTAGTGACAAGTGCACATGCTGTCGTACTGAAGGGAACTCAATTCTCTGACACCAAGAGCACCATTTATTTCTGTCAGTTTCGGTGATTTAAAACTGTTATTTCAGAAGCCCCACCACTAGCTCGCTCAACAAAGAGATAACACTTAGAGCGACCCGACGAGTCTGGACTGCAGAAAGGGGCGGCAAACGAGACACCCTCACCTGGAAGCGGCACTTGTACTTGTCGTACAGGTAGAGCCAGTCATAGGACTGGAACATCTGGTAGGAGAACTCGGTGAAGCTGATGCCCTCTCCCGACCGTATGCGCTGCTGGACGCTGTTTCAAAACCAAAACAAACAGCCCACTTAGAAAGGCCCACATGTACACCTCTCCCCAAGAGTAAGGCAGAACATTCCTACGTCAGCGAAGTCCCGCATGGCAATGAATAACAGACAGTTTCGAGGGTTTATGCGGCAGACGAGTGGAAGGTCTCTGGTATGCCCCAGCGAAGGATTTAGACAAAATGGAGACTTTCTGACGTCCGATAAAATTTCGGTTCTGTGGCGTCATGAAAATTAAGCTTCCGTCAAGCTTGCGGGCACCTCCTGCGAAATCTCAACCTGCCAACTGGGAAATCGTCAGACTCGTGCACTGAAGGGAAGTTATATGCCATAGCGTGGATAATTACATGTTGCAGCACACATATGTTTCAGATACCAATAGTACAAAAACAGTGACTGAGAAAACTAACGCTCCCATGCAGAGAATCTACAGCACCACAACCCAGACCGGTGTAACAGCCCAAAAAAAAGCGCTAAAATTAGACGAAGGAGGAGTGAGAGGAATGTACACGACAAGCGCTGACTTACAACTCTATTTTTATTAGGAAGAAACATGAAACCTTTGAACCACCAAAACACAAAACACCGCCAGTCTTATCAATGTGATTACAATCTTACTTCGTGTGGTTACGAAGCAAGATTATAATCCCATCGATAAGATCGGCTGTGTTTTGGTGGTTCGAGGGGGTTTCATGTTTCTTCCTAATAAAAATTCAGTTGTAAGTCGGCGCTTGTCGTGTACCTTCCTCTCACTCGTCCTTCGTCTAATTTTTGTGGTTTTTTGGGTTGTAATGCACCACCAACTCGCCCAAGTTACCACACTTATGCAGACCACTGTTCTTGTTTCAACATGTGAGTTGGACAACCCGTGCTACAAGTGTGGCAGGAAGTTGGGATGTGGTCGCAAAATTTTTGTATGCACCAAATTCCGTGTACACCAATCCGAAAGAATGGGCACCTCAACATAGGAAGGTCAAAAATTTTTGAAAATGTGATTGGTCGTCAACTCTACCCGACGAAATATCTAACCGCGATTCTATGTCTGTAGAAATATTGCGGAGGAATGTTTCTAGCATTCGAGAAACTGGTCGTCATTTGAAAATACAGAGCATTCGTTCGACAGATGTAAAACTATGCTTAAGAGTTTGCCCGGGTTTCCGCTTGCCAGGACGAGACGCCAACTCCACGAAATGGGGAGTAAAGGGGAAAACAAACAAGATCATACTGAAAATGCCCACAGATCAGGGACTAACAGGCAGGAACAAATATAACACCGTCTCCAAATCGAGAGTGTTTGCTCCCCTCCCCCATATTTATTTATAGTACCTATAATTTCTAATGAATGGGGCATTACAGGAGGGTTACCACATCACTGCCTGGGCATTTCCAGTATGAACATGGCTGCTCACCAGTTCTCCTATACCTCGACTCACATAAAAAAACGCAAACCTACAAATAAAAGTTATTCAAATTAGGTATGTGTCGTGCTATGTACGATAATCACAAAAAAGTACTCTTTAATAGACTAAACATTGTGCAAATTCCAAATCACTATAACTATAAACTTGCTTTTTCATACAAGCAGTCTTCTAAACACAAGGAAAATCTTTACATAGCAATCTCTCACCCGATGCATAGGGAAGCAGTAGTATATGAAACTTGTAGGTCTGAGGCATGCCTAGTACCACACTCCAGAACAACTTACAACAGTCAGACGCTAAGATGTACCCTTCCCCGACTTTTGAATTGTTTTTATACCGATAGTATTGAAATCCTGAATGAATCTTCTAAAAATACATGCACATTATTTATTTGGGACTCATTCATATATGCTTTAAATGTGTAATTACTAAACTAGTAGTAAGACTTGAATACTTTTTTTTTTTTGTCATTTTTGTTTTGCACCTTGAATTAAAAACAAACATGTATTGTGTGTGTGGCTACTTTCGTTGTTGCCGCTAAGGGAGAGAGAGGCTTCTCTAGCAAAAATTGAGTTTCTTTTATCTCTGCCTTCTCCAGTTGGGAGATAAAGAAAGAATTTTAATTTTAATAAACACTTTTCGACAAAAGACAGCATGTGAAAACAAAAATCCCGTTACAACTCCATGAAAATAGCTGCATGGTTACTTTGAGCACATGTGCAGGGAGCATACAGCAGCGGTTCACATGGAAAACAGGCCCCACATTGAGAGCAACCAAAACCCTCTCCGAAGTGAACTCGTAAACGAAAGACACAGTGAAGCACACGAAAAGCAGAGAAGGCAGACTGTCACCTTGTGCGGCACATCATCTTGCCCAGCCTGAAGTGCCTCCCAACAGTACCAAGGAATGGGATGACGCCCTGTCCGTTGTACCAGTCCGAGTTGCGGACTATCCTGAAAGGGACATCCACTTCAGCACCAGTTTTGGCTTCCTCAGCGCGAGTTTTATGCGAGACTTACACGAGTTTCGTGAAAACTCGAGTTTAGGAAATCGTGTGCAGACCACGAGAGCTGGGTTGCGTAATTTGGGGCGGCATGCTGTAATGGTAAGTGTGACAAGACGCCAAAGGAGAGACTCCCCTACACTTGGTGCCACGGGTGGTGTAGCGCAGGATCACAAATTAAGGCGCGAAAACCGGGCAGATATAGCACAAGTGTTGGCCGGATTTCAGTGCAAATGAAACAAACAACTTGATCAATACAAGTTGTGCTCAAGCTAATTTCTGAACAAGACGCAAGTGAACTCGATTACAGAAGCAGCTCTCGAGTTGCCTACCTGTAACTAAATTATGGACACTAGCTCGTGTGGCACACACCACATGAGCGATAGACTTTTCACATTAAACACATTCATCCCAATGAGGGATCCCAATGAGGGATGAATGAGATACCCTGTTCTCCAAGTCAGTCACAAAGGGAACAATGATTACATAGTTGTTCCATAAACCATTCTACATTAGAAGCTCCGTACGGTAAAGACTGAAGTAAACAAAGATATGCAGATAACGGAGTAGAGTTAAACTATGCTTTAAGCCTTGGTATAAGCAGATAGGGATAGTGAGGATGCTTTTCTTGCAAGTGCCCATTTGAAGAATGAGTGCATTGTTCATGTCACTCTTCTTTAGTTTGTTTAAGTCAATGCTAACTTTATAAGCACCCATCTGCTGTGACCCGTTGCTTTTTTGAAAGATGAACCGGGGTCAAAAGAAGTTGAGGCAATAGTGCACCAGTTACCTAATCTAAGGCACAAAAAGGTTTAATCTCTCCTTAAAGGGACATGAGCAGATAAAATAAATCCGACAAACAACACGCCACCTGGCAGGCACCCACCGTAGCAGACCCAGTTCGCCGCTGGGCTTGCAAGCACCATCTTTCCAGAAATGTTCTTCGTGGTTAATGAAGATTGTCTCTAAGTTGTCCCGGATCCCCGCGACGTTCCTTTCGATGGCGTCGTCTGCCATCTTGTCCCTCTCCGTGAGGCGACCGCTCGGGTCGCCGATTTGGGCCGTGGAGTCGCCGATCTGGCCGGGGAACAAGAGGAGACGGGGTGAGCCTCGGAGAAACCGCTCGATGAGTCCCATTGTGGCAATACACAGATGGAAATAACTGACAGTTAGTGGCCACGATAGTATGGTGCCTCGAACGCATCTCTGAATGGTGTGTTTGGCGTCCCATTCCGCACATGCGCTAAAAGTGGTCTCGAAGTGGCAACACACGACGTCGATAAAAAGCTGGGGCGTCACGTTGCCGGATGTTGCAGTCCCGGTGGTTAGATGTAGAAGTTCTGGCAGAAAGCACGAGAGAATGCGACTGTCATCGCGGCGTCCCAACTGCCGAAGCTTCCGCGGACTGGAAAGCTGGAGAACAGCCCGCAGCAGCATGGGCGTCTGCCACACCTACCATCGCCGCAGGGAGTCGTCAGACAGAAATCGAGGGAGTGCGTTTGAGGATGCGGTAAACGCACCGGACGGAGACTCGTTCCGGGTGCCGTGACGATGGTCAGATTAGCACAGTGCTTGTGGGTGGCTCCAGCTCCTTCTGCTTTCTCGAAATGATTACGGCTATTTTGAGTTGTCAAAAGTCCCCCGGCACACATCGCTGTCTAACGGAAATGGATGTCAACAGTGTGCCGTGAACGTTGCCTAGACCTTTGCAAATGTTCGCAGTTTCTTTTTTTGGTCGCTACGAACAACGTGTCGGCTCTTGGTGCGCAGTGCGCTTCGGTGTTTGTCACCATTTTAATCCCCGAATGTAGCTCTTGGTGCCCGAAACCGCACTTGGATGACCTTCAACGAGAGCCACGTCAAGAAAATACAGTGTCTCAAATGACGAGGCTGGATCTAAAATAAGCCGTAAAAATCAGCGCCTGCACTTTTCGTCAAAGCTGTACTTTGCAGGTCGGTTACACCTTGTAAATTTACGGTGCTTAACTCCGTTTCTGTATAAAAAAAGAAGGCCAAGAAACTTGCCACGGTCAAGGGTGGACGGCGACGTAGACGATCGGGTCGAGTGGTGGGGCGCGGTTGGCACTCGTATTGATAGATGGCGCTACCTCCCTGCTCCGGCCTGCTTTCGAAAATATCGAGGCCCCCTGCGACGATCGTGGTCCATTAAAATGAACATAATATTTTTTGTAACATACCTTTGGTTTATAAAGACCTGCAGACAATGATAGCAAAACTTGAAGTAAAAAAACAATAGAAGAAACCACGGTTGCATAACGACGGAAATCTTGCTGACGACGGATTTTGTTTTGTGTCGTCTGTTTTCTTTCGCTAGTCGGCTACACCCTCCGATCTTGCTCCCGGCACCATCTATCAATACATGTGCCAAACACGCCCCGCCACTCGAATCGGTCGTCTGCGTCGTTGTCCGCCGTTGACCATGGCAAGTTTCTTGGCCCTATCTTTTGCAGAAAGCGAGCTACGCTTTGTAGTTTTACAAGGTAAAGCCTACCTGAGAAATACACCATTGAGGAAAAGTTTAGATTGCTGCGCGCACGTGCCAATTTTTATGGCTCATTTTAGACCGAGCCTCTGCCTTTCAGACACCCTACAATTTGTAATACAATGATGCATGCTCCACATTTTAAGAGACTGATGCAAAATCAGCGTATCCCTTCACGATGACACAAACTTATGACAGACTGCAATTTAAAAGTGTTTGACAAACATGTGCCACTGTCGTGGGTTTCATATGTATCCAAGAATGCCAACTTGCCCCACTGTCGTAGGTTTCAAATGTATCGAAGAATGCAAACTGGCTTACTTTAATCGAATCAAAGTGCATCCTTAATTTGTATAAATTTGATCAATGTTTTGAAACGAATGCATGTGACGGTTACTGAAGGTTGGGCGCAAACGAAACTATGTACATTGAAACGAAGCCCCTCGCCTCGTTTCAAGGGGATTATTCTTCTCGAAGGCAGTCACGCCCTCCAAAAACCAGAAATCTACGGGAAATGGGCCCGTTTCGACACAATTTCCAAAACAGGTTGGCAACACTTCACTCACCACAGCAATGACATTGTGGCCCATCCTCTGCATGTGGATCATGAGGACAATGGCGAGGAGGTTCCCGACGTGCAAAGAGTCGGAGGTGGGGTCGAAGCCGCAGTAGACGCATTGCTTCGAGGAGAAAAGCTTGCCGACTTCGTCACTGCATCGATGAAGCGAATCGAAATGAGTGCTCACACATTACAATCATGGACGATACAAACTAAACGGTCACGGGTTGAAAACACAGTAGAAGCTCTGTGCTTTCCATCATGCTTAGTCTGCGCACGGTCATGAGACGCCAGAGTTAATGAATGCGTAAAGCTCGTACTCGAGGTAAAGCTTCTACTGCCTTTTAAATTTGTCACCAACCAATGTGTTTGTCTTGTCTGTTAGTACTATATGGTGATGATAAGAGGAATCATTGTCTGTTTGAGTGATTGCTTATTTATGCCTCCTCAAAACTTGCGGACAAAGTTTTTCACAAACTGCTGCCCAGTCGTATTAATGCGAACAACAAAGTATATATATGCACGTTTCGGCTTCCTTTATGCAAAGCTATTGCATCTCCGTGTAGCTTTGCATGCCTTACTGCCATCATGTGCATTCTACACCTTTGCACTAACAGACCTCCTGAATCTTCGGCTTCGCTCAGTTTTGACACCTGGGAATCAGCGTTGTGAATTTGATGAAAACAAAAGCATTACATTCTCATCTGAGATATGAAACTGAGAGCTAGAACTGCATAATTTAAGCTTGCAGCAGCTACAACATAGGGGGCCACAAAGTATCCAATTAAAGAGAACGGACAAAACTCTCGTGCTACAGCCTGAGCAGAATTCCATTTTGTGAGAATATTGGGATGTCTAAAAGTACCTAGTGATGAAAAGAATGCGATAAGAAAATGAGAGAAACTATTGAAGATCGCTTGAGCCCCCCAACATGCACTTTTCAGGGTTTTGAGTTCTGTAATTAAATGGGCAGGTGACAATGTTTTCTTTTCTCCCCTGAATGAGAACTACTGTCCAAAACAAAGCAAGGGTACATTATAGATTAAGCAGCAACGGTTTTATCGTAACACGACAAACAAAAATATTTCAGCCAAAACATTTTATTATGTCGGCAATTCGATTTATATCCGCCAAGGACCTGCCTCTAATATTACGTCTTTCTCTGCTTATGAACGCGACTAAAAAGCAATAAAGGTTCTCACATGGTTGCATAAAGACAGCCGTAAACGCAACTCACTTTTCAGGAGGAAAAACCTCTTGAATGACACCACGTTGGAGAAGTTGCCGAAATGCCTCTTTGCTGTAGGCTTGAAAGCGGACTCTGCTGCGAGCTTCGATCTGCAGTAACCTGTTTATAAATAACGCCACAAAAGAAGAAGATAAATAAAAACATGTCATTCAAAATCTCTTAGCGAAAGTGGTTTGAAGGAACGAAAAGTCAAGACCCCCACTTGGATACAATCTACGCTAAGCTCTGAGAGTGTTCCTCGCGTAGTCAGAGCTACCGATGTGCCCGTGTGGTGAGTTAACTATACGTAAAACCTTGCCTTGTTACTTTCGCGATGGGAATGAGGAGTTTCAGTCGGAACATGACAATCCAATTGAAGAATTACTAGTCAAAAAACAGCCGAAGAATACACGCGACCACGCCGGTCTGTTGTGCACAGAGTTGCCAGATAACATTCTGCTATGTTCCGCCTTCCGCTGTATTTGCGTAGGCCCGCGGTTGGCTTGGTGTGCATCACAGACTCAAACAGAGACTGACACCAGAATCTAAAACTCGTGAAAAGCAAAATATGAACACAAAAAAATAACCGGAGAGAAACTATTTACACGAGTTCGCAAACCGAAACTGAGTTCTGGCCAGCGTTCGTGCGTCTGGCGAGGGATATGCATCTTGCTCGATTTCTGAAGCGACGTAGGCTGGATCGTTGATCGAGGCTTGTCGATAAGGTAATCTGGCTAGTCGTGCACAAAGCAGCTTCTTAAAGGCGTTTCTTGCAAGTACCGCCGACCATTGTTGTGGAAACGTGCAACACACGTACGTGCCACGAGTGGGTGCTCCGCCGCCATTCGCTTCCAAGTGTCGTTCATTTCAGCGCTGCGCCGCCATTGGTTTCCAAAGGCCGCTTCAGTGCCACTAAATAAGCTACGCTTCAAAGTCACTGATCTTCTCCGGATCACGCTTCCCGCTTGTTCGCCACAGCGCGAGTGAAGCCACAGGATGGACATCTTGCTCGTAGTCAATTTGCGGTTTGCTAGCGTTGCAGAGGCTGGCAGCAGCGTACTGTACACGCGTTTTGTACCGTTGTTCGTCATTCGCCGAAGAACATTTTTTTATACCCTGTGTAACCGTTGAGACTTGCCGTTGTGAACACCTGAAAAATTTTACGAAAGCGTGCCGCAGGAAAACGGTATAACTCGTCGAAAGCAAGTTTCGCCAGTCTCATGGCAGGATCAAAACTTCCTTGGCATGCTAAAGTGCTGCGTCTCTGTGCCTTCGCACGCTTGGATACCGATCAAGAATTGACGCCGTGTGGATGTGTTTTGCGAGTGCGATGTGCGTGAAGCCGCATGTAAAGGCACAACTCGTCGAAAGCAAGTGCCGCCGGTCTCGCGGCCTGATCAGAGCTTCCTTGGCACGCCGAAGTGCTGCGTCTCTGTGCCTTCGCACGCTTGGATACCGATCAAGATTCATTTCGGCGCCGTGTGGATATGTTTTGCGAGTGCAATGTGCGTGAAGCCGTGTGTACCTCTGGAGCAGCGTTTTACTTTCTCAGACTGCTGTATTTGTAGCTTGCATCACTCGCGGTCCAGAAACGAGCTTGATCCAGTGTAGTGGCGACGGAAGAGGAGGGGAAAGGGGCGGCATCAGCGGCGTGTTTTTTTTATTTTGTTTGCAAGATGCTTATTGCAATCAAATTAGTAGTACAAAATCAGTATCACAAAATATTACAGAGACGCATTACTTTGGCGTGCCAAGGAAGCTTTGATTACACCACGAGACCGACGAAACTTGCTTTCGACGAGTTGTGGCTTTTACCTGCTTCACTGCCTAAACAATAAAAATTCGTAAAAATCTCCACGTGTTCTCAACGGCAAGTCTCAACCCTTACACAGAGTCTTAAAAATCTTCTTCGACGAATGACGACGAATGAGTAGAAAACGTGTCTTCAGCACGCTGCCGCCAGCCTCTGTAACGCTAGCAAAACCGCAAATCGTCTACAAGCAAGATGGCCGTCCGGTGGCATCACTTGCGGGAGCGGGAAGCGCGATCAAGCAATTGTTATTGAGATCAATGTTCAGAGCAACATTACTAAAACCATCAGTTGGGAAACTCACCCTTGAAACCTGGGCCCCTGACGCGTCAACCGAGACCGAGCTAAATTAGGGTGCCTCCATTTGCCGGCCGCTCCGTTGACAGGGCGGAGACACCCGCCATATTGTGGCGAACTTTGTGCTGCATTCACCGGTGTCATATTGCGTCTATCTTTCCAGAACTTTCGCTAAACACAACGTTTTTGCACCACTACTTTGTCACACACACTCTACACGACCCACACCCAATGTGGAGCTAATACTGACCTCACGTGCCATATTGTGGCGCTCCATTGGCTCCATTGGTGTACTCCACCCTGTCAGCGGAAGCGGCCAGCAGATGGAGGCACCCTAGAGCTAAATACGATAACAGCGCCACCCGTTAGCGACGAGTTGAACCATGAAAGTTGCTTTACATAGCTACTGCGAGATGGCCCTGGGAGATGGCCCTGCGAGATGGCGCCACCGGCCCTTGCCCGACTCGACGTGCAGCCGTGCAGTTCCCGGAGTGGACGCTGCGGGAGAAATGGCGGCGTAGCGATCGCCATTAGCTCGGTTCTAGAGTACGGATCGGAGCCACTTTTTTGAAGCAGGCTCTGTGGCAGTTTCCCAACTGAGTGGTTCTATACTCCGCGACAACTTTTCTTGGCAATGCAGTGGAAGGTACAGGCCCGCGTCCCATCTCCCATTTTGAGTGTACGCAGGGTACGCAGGCTCTCCTTCTCCCCCATTTCCGGGGAGAGGAGGAGAGCTCGCGCGCCACACTCAAAATGGGAGATGGGACGCTGGCCTGTACCTTCCAGTGCATTGCCAAGAAAAGTTGTCGCGGGGTATAGTAACGTTGGTTCAGAGTAACGACAATTGACCATTTTGGCTGCGTTCCAAATCTAACTCAAATGAATCCGAGTTACTCCGGCGGGTCGTGTCACGTGACAACACAGATTGAAAAGCGCTGAACGCGGGTAGGTTTTGGAACGCCAAGGTACAATACCCTTACCCTGGAGTAAGATCGAGTAAATTTTGGAACATGGCCATTGTGACTTAAAATCATGGTTGCCAGTTATCTGAAGCTTTATCTGAAATCACAGGAAACGCTTTTCCGCCCTCCATAAATGTTTAAAAATTTCGCGACAGAGCAAAGCAATATTATATGACCTTCCTAACACCGAATGCAATGCTAAGGAAGTCGCAATTTTCTAATCATGGCGATCGGCAGTTGCGTCTGCTCTGCATACGAAACAAAATAATAATAATAATAATAATAATAATGTGTTTTATTCCCTTTACAAATACATACAATTAATGCTGGCCTACAAAAGCAGTATTCTGCTTGTGCGTAGGACCAGACAATCCAGCGAAATACATATTAATACATCATGATAAAAAAAAAAAAATCAAACGAGTGCAATAAAAAAAAAAATCGAACGAATGCAATGTGGCCATTGATACCAACATTAATACAAAACAAAGCAGCAATTCGGCACAAAACAAAATGAACACAACTATCGAAATCACCAAGAGGCAAGTATACAGTGATAAGAGTAAAGCAGTGTTTATGGAGGTAATGAGAGGCACCAGTTTTTTATTTCTTTTTTTAGTACTTTTATCGAATTTATTTTCATTAAAGGCTCAGTGAGCTCATTAAATAAGGTGGGAATAAAGTGAGCTCTGCATCTTTTTCCGTATCGCGTGTAAATTCTGGGGATTATAAACCTTTCTTTGCGCCTTAGGTCCCTAGGCTTGTCCACTGGAACCTTGAACGTTGCATCGTAGTAATAATTTATAAACGTAACGTATCTATGAAAATTTTTAAAGAATAAAATTTGGAGCTTCTTTGCTTTATCTTCCATATCTAATGTTCCGTATGTAGTTCCGTATGTGATGTTTTTAACCATATGTTTTAAAATTCTGTTTATTGCATTTGTCTTGTATGGAGAACAGTGACCATATAAAGTGATTCCATATCGTAGAATTGATTCAGCTAACGACCTGTACACCAGTAGTCTTATCTTTACGCTGCACAAGCTTCTTATTCTGTACAAATATGCTGAAACGGCACGTAGTCTTTTAGTCACAAATTCCACATGTTGATTCCATGATAAATGTTCGTCGACGTATAATCCTAGATATTTTACACAATTATCGTATGGCAAAGGTTTACAAGTACAATTATTACACGGTGTCGAATGAAGTAAAATTTTAGGTGACATATCAATACGTTTATGAGAATTTCGGAAACACAGTAACTTAGTTTTGGCAAAATTAACGGAAATGGCATTTGAGTTAAACCAACCTATTAGTTCATTTATATCTCTTTGGAAGACTAAAACAGCATCATCATAGTTTTCATAAGGTAAAACTAGCACCGTATCGTCAGCATACTGAAATAGCTTAGATCGTAGAGGTAGAATACCCAAATCATTTATGTAAACGTTAAATAAAATTGGTCCCAGAGTGCTACCTTGTGGTACACCACATTCGACTTTAACTGTACTACTTATATTATTGATAATTTTAACCATTTGTTGTCTGTCGTTAAAGTAATTCTGAAAAAAGTTATAAAACTGTCCCCTGAAGCCCAGTCTGTAAAGCTTTTCAAGTAACAGAGAATGATCAATGGTATCAAAAGCCTTCGATAGATCTATAAAAAGTGCCAGGGCAATCTTGTTATTGTCTAGTGCTTGATTAACACAGTCAGAAACATCTTCTAAAAGTGTAATAGTACTTTTTTGTTGTCGAAAACCATATTGCGTACTAGAAAATAAATTAAATTTATCACAAAAATTGGTCATTGTTAGTTGTACCCACTTCTCGATTATATGAGCTAATGCAGGCAGAATGGAAATGGGCCTGTAGCTCTCCAATTCCTGTTTTTTACCCTTTTTATACAGTGGACGTATAATAGATATCTTCAAGCCCTTAGGAATTCTTCCGGTATGAAAGGTGTCATTAATTATTTTCATTAAAACGTGTTTTAATTTATCAAAATTATACCGAATATCTCGTACTCTAATATTATCAAATCCTGGTGTTTTAGTTATTGGCATAGCATTTAAAATCCTCAAAAGTTCGCTCTCCGTCATCTGAGGTAAGTACGCCGAACTAGAGCATCTGACCTGTGAAGTGACGGGATTGGGACCATTCAGTGAAATGTTATTTTTTATGCTTCTTACGGAGTCAACAAAACACTTATTAAATGATTCCGATAACGTTAAATAAGAATCTAATCCAGGAAAGTTTTTTTTAATTGTATCATCCACGCTATTTTTAGACTTTCTGCCAGTTAATTGGTTTACTAGGTTCCATGTCTTTTTTATATTTCTTCTCGAAG